TTCTCTCCACCAGCTGGAGGGATCCCTGGAGCAGGAGAAGAAGGTACGCATGGATCTGGAGCGAGCCAAGAGGAAGCTGGAGGGAGACCTGAAGCTGACCCAGGAGAGCATCATGGACCTGGAGAATGACAAGCAGCAGCTGGACGAGAGGCTGAAAAAGTAGCGTGTTCCCCGCCCCACTGCCCTTCCTCCTCCCCCGCCCAGCAGCCTGTTGCGCCCATGGCGGTAATAGCTGACCCAAGACATCCGTCCTCAGAGGAAACAGCCTCATGCAGCCTCAATGAGTGGGTGCAAAACTGCGGGCAAAGCCTCCAGGAAGAGGGCTTTCCTCCCCCAGACACGCACATCAGGGCCCCGCAGGCCTCCCTGGCAAAAGTCTAACCCGGATCTCTCGAGCCTTTTCTTCCTGCTGGGCATTCACAAGGGATGGAAAATAACAGCTTACCCCCTTCATACACAAGTCTCTTTGGAGACCAGTTGCTTCACACAGAGGAAGGCTCTACACAAAAGCCTGTCAGGAAAGTCCTTTCAGGTCCTTCACAGGGAGTCCCGAGGACCACAGAGAAATGACTCAGCCACCATGTTTGAGCAGCGCAGGGTCTGGGCCATTTGATTGTTCGATGATCCTGTGGTTCCAACTTTTATTGCAAGACCTTCCAAAATGTATAGATCCACTTCCCACACTTGGTAAACAGTGAGTCTGTGGGTTCACTGTTCAGATAAGCAAGGACTCTAACCCTAAAGCCCCGAGACTCGTCACGATCCACATCCTCACCAGGAACTCATCGCACTTTCCCAGGCACAACACTCGTTGGATGAATGAACAAATATATGATCCCACTGACCCTCAAACCACCTTTTAAGAATGGTACTTCAACCCCACTTACTAAGGAGGAAACAAAGGCTCAGAAAGGTTACCAAATTGCCCAAAGTACCAGTGACAGAATTAAAGACCGTCAGAGCTAACAGGGGCCTCTCAGACCATCTAGTCCCACGCACGCATTTTATACACCAAAGAGGAGACCATCTCGGAGCCCAGGTCCCGGCACTCTACCTACAGTGCTTGTCCCAGTACACTTCCTCTTGAGTTGCAATCCTTCAGCAGATGTTACACTTTCAGGGACACAACAACAGCCCTGGAAGCTGTTTTTCTCATGAAATCTGCTCCTCATTTGTGTCATTACCGTCTCCAACCACTGGTGGGCCCTCCAGGGGCCCAACTGACCTCCCTCGCTTGACCCTCCCTCCTTCTCTGCAGGAAGGACTTTGAGCTGAATGCCCTCAATGCGAGGATTGAGGATGAGCAGGCCCTGGCCAGCCAGCTGCAGAAGAAGCTCAAAGAGCTTCAGGTAAGCTCTCTGGGCTGGTCCTCAGCCTCTTCGGCCCTCCCCCAGGCTGTCCTCTCCGAGCACTGCAGGCGCTGGCCCTGCATCTGTGAGGGGAGATGCTGCGCTACCACAGTTCCCCCACGGAGCACCACCAGCAGGGCTGGGGATGCAAGGATGACACAGGGAAAGATCAGGAGAAGCTCATGGGTCTGGGGGCAGAAATCTGGCTTCGTGTGTCAGCTCTGGTTTAGCTGGTGACCGTGGGGAGTCCACTGCCGATCTCTGGGTCTCCATGTCCTCCCCTGTTCCCTGTGGCTCTTGAGGCCCCTTCAGCCCTGATGGTTTGTGACTTCAGTTTTTACCTCTAGAGCACATTTGCCTTTCGTTGTCTGGTCAGACGAACCTAGCTCTCTAATTCTAACTTCCATGATTTTTGCCACAAAACTGCCTAAAGTGTCTCTAGAACACAGGTCTATCTGTCCTTCTGCAAGAGCAAGCATCAACCACTTTCCTTCCAATAAACAGAATGTACAATCTTCTGACCCGAAGGCAGGCTCACTCGGCTGTCCAGACCATCTTCCCCAAATCCTTTGGTTTCTACCTGTCCACTGCTGGAACTAAGCTGACTGCTATTCTAGACAGGCCAGGAGTCTTCTAGAGCTCTGGGGAGAGGGCTCCAACGGAGGGGATGGGGCGGTGGGTCTGAGCCCCCTGTGTCCGGCCCAGGCACGCATTGAGGAGCTGGAGGAGGAGCTGGAGGCCGAGCGCACTGCCCGGGCCAAGGTGGAGAAGCTGCGCTCAGACCTGACCCGGGAGCTGGAGGAGATCAGCGAGCGTCTGGAGGAGGCCGGCGGGGCCACGTCTGTGCAGATCGAGATGAACAAGAAACGCGAGGCCGAGTTCCAGAAGATGAAGCGGGACCTGGAGGAGGCCACGCTGCAGCACGAGGCCACGGCGGCCGCCCTGCGCAAGAAGCACGCAGACAGCGTGGCCGAGCTGGGCGAGCAGATCGACAACCTGCAGCGTGTGAAGCAGAAGCTGGAGAAGGAGAAGAGCGAGTTCAAGCTGGAGCTGGATGATGTCACCTCCAACATGGAGCAGATCATCAAGGCCAAGGTGGGCTGTGCTCTCCTGCCCCCTCCTCCAGTCCCCTCCAGCCACCTCCACTTTCTGTCCCTGTCTCCTCTCTTCCCTTCTCCTTGAATTGCACCACCCACACCCTTTTAGCCCCTCCATCCATCGTATGACTCGCCTTCCTCTCTCAGGCTAACCTGGAGAAGATGTGCCGGACCCTGGAGGACCAGATGAATGAGCACAGGACCAAGGCCGAGGAGACCCAGCGTTCTGTCAACGACCTCACCAGCCAGCGGGCCAAGCTGCAGACAGAGAACGGTGAGCCCCACCCCCGTCTCCCTGACCTCCTGAGCCACCCAGGCTCGAGCACGCGTGCACACACACACACACACACACACACACACACACACACGCCTCTTCAGAGACAGGGCCTGAGGGTTAGGGGAGGAGTTGGGGGTAGAGAGGAGGGACTGACCTTCGAGAGCTGAGTGTGCCTCGGTGCCTCTCCAGGTGAGCTGTCCCGGCAGCTGGATGAGAAGGAGGCGCTGATCTCCCAGCTGACCCGAGGCAAGCTCACCTACACGCAGCAGCTGGAGGACCTCAAGAGGCAGCTGGAGGAGGAGGTCAAGGTGAGGCCTAGACTCAGGCCCCTTGGCCCAGCACACGGGCTGGCCTTGCATCCACATCACTTCCTTTCCCAAGAATGAGGCTTGCTACACAGACAGTATTTTCCCATTTTCCAGAAGAAATAATCGCCCAGACCCTACCACATGCCTCCCAAATGTATTCCCCACGCTGAGGCCCTCCACCTTTCTGGTGCCGTCTCTGAAGGGCACGGACTAAGGGTACCTGGGTCAGGGGGTCGTGAGGTGAGGTGAGGCAATCAACTAGGGAGGTACGATGGCCTTGGCTGGGCATCGGTATGGGATGTAGGAACTGCACAAGTGGTCCTGGGATTAGCAGAACAACCTGAAATCTGGAGAAAGAAACTCAACTGGATCCTATTCCTAGCACTTGGCTGGGCTCATCACAAAGGGAAAAGAATATGACTCACAAAAAAGACCAGGGCTCAAACCCTAGCCTGCCTCCTACAGCCTTGGTGATCTTGGGGAAATCGCCTAACCTCCCTGAGCCTCTGTCTCCTGCCTGTAAAATGGGGTGAGGATGCTAACGCCCGCTGCAGGGAGGAGCATGGGGGGTGGGCGTGGAGCGTTTTGTGAACAGTGCAGGGCTGTATGGACTTTCTTTGTTAACAGTACTCAGTTACCGTTCCGGATCCACTGGGCTATTAGAGATAGGTGAGGCCGTGGGAGGATGCTGAAATTAGGGTGCGGAGACGGGCAAGGCCTGGAGTCGTGCTACGGGGAAAGCTGAGCCTGCCTCCTGGTGCTGCCTCTCCCAGGCGAAGAACGCCCTGGCCCACGCGCTGCAGTCGGCCCGGCACGACTGTGACCTGCTGCGGGAGCAGTACGAGGAGGAGACGGAGGCCAAGGCCGAGCTGCAGCGCGTCCTTTCCAAGGCCAACTCGGAGGTGGCCCAGTGGAGGACCAAGTACGAGACAGACGCCATCCAGAGGACCGAGGAGCTGGAGGAGGCCAAGTGAGTCCCGGGAGG